AGCTACAGCTCAGGGGCCCCCCGTGCAGTACAAATCACGTATTTCCATTGACGCGCAACATATACATCCTATATATAGACTAACGCCATAAAACATTTACCTTCAGGAGATTAGTAAGCTCCTTGGTTAAGCGCATGCCATAGTAAATCCTACCACTGACATTCTATAGCTATAGTCCAAGGTATCAGGATCGGCGTAGGGCTATCGTTGCTCTCGCTTGTCGTTAAAAGAACGAAAAATTAAGGCCACCTTCCCAGTTGTATGTAAAGCTCAGCTCTATCTTATGTGAGTGATACCAAGGTATGTATATAGTAGTAATCCTAAGACCTATTGCAATCCTATTTGTCTCTCTTCCCCTTATATCTATGGAGATATTCATCTCATGCATAGTGCACTGAAAACGGTGAGCAGCATGATATTTGCGTGTGTTGTATGACAGTATCCACCACACTATGTGTTTCATACCACTTTGATTCCAGGAGCATTGAGTATGTGTCCAATAGGCATCCGTCTCAGTAGCAGACACCGAAGGTGGCAGCAGTACCCTATAATGTGTTAGAAAGAAACGCTCGTACAAGAACTGCACCGAGACATTCTATTTAGCAGTTATGCATTTACTTGTATCACGTAATTCTCTATGTGTCGTGCTTGTCTAGCTGGCTCACTCTGTGGCCGCCATGTGAATCCAGATTGATCATAAACTATAGAGGATAACTTTATCACCAGAACAAAGGTACACTAGTGTACTACATCTTAACCCTAGCCTGCAAAGTGAAGTATACGTGCCATAGAAAGTGGTGTGAGGTTCGCCTTTGTGTTGTGTTGTGTGTAGATTCGAACCCCTACAGCTGGTTGCCCTGGTAGCTCAGTTGTTAGAGTGCTCGCCTAGACTGCAGAGTGTCGTGGGTCGACCCACCTAGGGCAGCTCTTTATTAGCTGTCCGGGTGTAGTTCAGTTGTTGTGACCTTTGGCATTTATACCTCATAGTTTTCACATGCACAGAATCAAACCCACTCCACCAGCTGAGCTTACGGGGCAACACAGCAGGTGAAGGAATCATACAAAACTAGACAAAAGGCATTGCAAGTTAGAAACACTGCAAAAAAAGAATTCAAATCTCACCCGAACAGAAGAAAGGCTCCGTAATCTCTACCAGCATCCCAATGATTGGATAGCCCCACGAGTACAATGAGCATTCCTCCGGCAAAAAAAAGCCGTGCCCTTCAACTTGTGCGACTGGAAGAAGAATCTGTACGTCCGCTCCATGCCAATGATAAAGATGATCCTGCAAGAAACAGGATCTGGGGAGGCAAATGGAACAAGCAATTCTTCATTCACTGCGCAGCTAATAATATGTGCCTACTATTTTCCAAGCCAAGAGAAGCTTTCAAACCGGCCTATTATGTGAAAATACTGCGACCTGCATTTGGAAATGGTACAAATTGCTCGTTTGACTGTTTCATGCCCTGCATAGTTTCAAAACCAACTGGGATGCTGATTGTCAATAAACATCTACAATCACTCTCGGTGACCAGGGTCGCAGATTCCGACTGGGAGTAAGTGTGGAGTAGATACTCCAGGACGGTGCAGTGGTGGGAAAGTTCTGATCAGTTCCTCATTGGTGACCACTGTGTTGGTGATTTTAGCTCTAATGTGACAAACACACACTTTGTCAAACTGTTGTGCAGTTTCTGTGGAAATGCAACATTGTAGTAGCATAGTGGTACGGCTGGCTCATAGGAAATTAAAGTAGTATAATTGATTTTTACAGTTAGCTGAACAGTATTGTACGTACGGATCATTATTATAAGCCGCGCTATAACAATACGCATGCGCAAATTACAAGCGAAACACCCACGTACAAACTTGTACTTTGACCTGATCGACCACGCCTCTTCTCTCCCTTCGCCTTTATCCGGCCGGACGGCCGAATCAGCACCGCCTCTACTATAACTTTCTGCTGACTTGGCTGCCGTCGCGTCGTCCGGTGGCGTTATTGTTTGCGGGGGCATCGGTCTGGCGACTGATCTGGAGGAGTCAGTCCCGCGCCCAGGGTCTACAAACTTCCTTTTCTCCCCCGACGTACTTCGCTCCGCTCTCTCCACTCTCTCACTCTCTACCACTTTGCGGTCTCCCCTACTCGCTCCCGTACGAAGGCCCCGACCGACTGCTTAGCCGAGGAAGAAGAATGGAGGGATACGACGCAAAGTTCGACCCGCCGCTCGAGAAGCGACTGGAGTGCCCCATCTGTCTTCTCGCCCAAAGGGAGCCCATGCAGACACCGTGCGGTCACCGCTTCTGTTCCGCCTGTATTCTGAGAGCGCTCCGGTAAGTCAACCGGCGGGTCCTTTATGTGTCTGTTTACCGCCCGTGGGGTATTCTGGTACGGCTCTCTAGCTAAGGGTTGAAGATGTTTTCTCAAAAATTCGACGCCTTTTTGCCACTGTAACTGGCGGTTGTTTGAGTCTCTCTCTCTCTCTCTCCCCTCTCTTCCCCTGTCTCTCTTCCCTTGTCCGTGTAGTCTCTCTCTTAGCCACTTTTGTACATTGTACATAAGATGATTCCAGGGAAATGTCTACATCTCTGTAAGAATCTATAGTGTTTGGTCACTGTACCCCGAAACCAGGCATTCGGCCTTTTTGGCTCATGAGTACGTAGTGGTGGGCCCCCATACTGTCTATATGGGGCATTTAGTGATTTGGTGTGAGAGCGTCTGAGCATCTATGTATGTATTTCAAGGACGCGGTATGCTATGTATGTAGTACACAATCATACACTTGTCCTTGGCGTGCGAGGTTGTAATTTGGTAAGGCCATATGAGCATGTGTAAACTACGACGTGGAATGGCAGAGGCACATCAACTATACATGAAAAAACATGTTTATAGCATACTAGCTAAAAGAATGGAAAAGAAAGAACCTTAACCCCCACCCAAATTAATAGACTCATAGAAAAATATAAAAACTCTGAAACTTACGCAGTACATACGACGATGCAACTTAGGTTGAAATTGCCACAAACTCTACGGCCAATCTCGGAGTATGGAGATATTATTTGTGGAGAATCATAATATAGTATGTAGTATGGCGTGGGCTTTTGCGTTTCTTAGTGATGTGTGAAATGTGAAGATGAGTTACACCCGGGACATCTCTTTCTTTTCGAGGAAGAAGAAGAGCTGCCCTGGGTGGGATTCGAACCCACAACACTCTGCTTTCTAGGCAAGCGTTCTACCAACTGAGCTACACATACAGTATACGCGGACGGAGAAATTGTTGCACATTATGCGCGTGTTTTGCTGTGTGCTAACTCAGTTCATAAGGAAATGATATGCGTGACACTTACACAACAAGCACATGAGTGTGAGTGTGCATGCATCACATGTTGTATACTGAGTATATATAATTATACATTTCACAGACTTGTGTACATGTATATATAATGTGCACAGCTGTCATTTTAGAACTCTGGTGTAGCGTAGCGTCTCCATGAGGCAAAGGCTTTCCGTCGAGTTTGCTTGTATTAGTGGCCAAAGGACGTGTGTTAATTCCGTTGCACTCGTCAGTGACTGTAACAGAAGCTCCTTGCAACATGTAGATCACGAGCCCTGTCTGGGTACTGCAACAGATTTGTTGGATATCCCTAGGCTGGTATGAACCCTGCTTGCACATGTATGGGCTGATAAAAAAAAAATCCCCCAGTACCTAGCTTCATACTACATGTCGGTTGCCTAGGGATATCCAACAAGTAGAAATGTTGTGTCAAATGTGTCTGCAGGAACAAACGGTGGTACGAAGAGGTATGCACGGTTTGGCACTGTGACAGTGTAACTGTTTGTGTTTTTCTTGTATTTATCTATAATTATGTACTGTACATTTATGTGAATAAATTGATAGGTACGTATGTATAAGATTGGATGGAAGACTGAAGAGAGATGTGAGGTGACGAAGAGTGTGTATTGAGAATGCCCTCAAGCTTTGAAGCCTCTCCTTTCTCCCTGCTCTACAGAAGCGTATATACTTAGGCGTGTAATAGATGCATAGTATAGTCTTTTGGAAGTTAATGTGTGGCAAGTGGTCAGTCGACACACCCCCCTCTCCTTTAATTGCTCCCTGGCTAAAACCCTGCATACAGTACGTGTGTGTATGTGATCGGAAGAGGTTGTCACACACCATCCAGAGGGGAGGCCTTGGGAACATTTTACGAGGTCGATATATACTCTACAAGAAGTTAGAGCAAAAGCATTTCTATAGGGGAGCATAGTGTGGTGGGTTCGAATCATACCCAGGTCTTTGACGAAAATGTGTTCTCTTGGGTGTAGTTGATATGGACTTGCCTTGTGTTGCCACCCAGTGATTCATGCACCACTGGGGTGTGTGTGTGAGGTGTGTGTCATAGCCTCCAGTGGCTTCCAATACCACACTGATTACTAGTGTTATCTAAAATGATGTGTTGTGTTATCTAAAATGATGTGTTGATAGAGCTCTATAATATTATAGATCTTACCTCTTTCCAATCTTCGTGGTTCTAAGGTTCAAGTTGTGAATAGGCTAGGATGGCTCGTGCAGATACAGTCATTGTGTGCTCGCTCCCGCTTGCCAAAAATGCCATGCATTCGCCTACTAGTATACGTGTAGGGACATACACATGTACCATCGGCCCATGATAAATTCTTGGTATGGCTTAATTTGATTGTGTTACAACATGCGATGGTATAGTAGTATGCTAGCAGCTGTTAGTATAGAGTGGTGACATGGCGTGTGCTGCCACTAGCTAATTGGGGTGATTTGGGTGCAAGCTATTGATAACATAATGTTATCGATGTTCCCTGATTACATAATCATTCAGAGAGTGCACATATTTGTGTCGCCCGACATCTGTCACGGTGGAAAGTGACACCGTTTTGGTTGCTAAGCATTACGTATATAACAGCCAGATAGTATGCCACGTTGGAATGTTCTCTGGCTAATTATGTGCACAATGTACATTATATATATACATGATGGACGAGCAAAGTGAACCGGCATACATACATACTTGCATAACTTAGATTCGCTAATACATATTGTACTGTATTGGTCCGTCCAATTTTCACTACAAATAGTATAATAATATGTCTATCTGGGGGTGTCTCATAATTGGACGATGCACATATATGCAAACATTTGCATGTTGAAGCATTTCTCCGCTCTATACGTACACATGGTTTGTCTATTTTGTCCATCATGTACTACAACATGTACTGTGTAGCTGATATCTGATTTATCTACTTTGGGAGGGCGTTCTTTCCTGAAAGGATTGATTCAATATCCAGGGTACATAAAGGGTTAACGACACTATCCTTGTTAGGAGATGGTTACATATACTGAACAAAGGGCAAGGGTTGGCCCAGTATGCATAGTGTTCGAAGGGTTAAACCTGCTGATATCGGCGTGGATAAGGTGCACAAGGGGTTAATTATAGGTCAGGCATGCAGGGGTTAAAGTTGATGACTTGGTGTGTTTGCATGATGTCAACAAGTGACGATGTCGTTGAAGGGTCAAAGTTTACCAATGTTAGCTGACCCCACGGTGAGATGATGGTGTTGGCACACAATGTGTTAGTTGACCCGATTAGCCTGTTTGTTATAATACCGACTTATTGCATCGTGCTGTTTGTATCGATGTCTGTGGCCATCACACAATAAGTTGACAACGATTCAACTGCCGAATTTGCATTCGAAAGCGTGAAGCACAAACCATCCGCAGTGTGCGTAGGATGTTAACACGAAGATAGAGCAGATTTTTTCCCTCTACGGTAAGGTAGGAATCCTTTCCCCTTTTCAGATCAGCAAAGTAGTATACAGTGGAACCTCCGATAATGAACTTCCCCAACAGTGAAAACCTCTCTATAATGAACTTATTTCCATGTACCAACTGGCTTTATATACACATACCTCTCAATAAAGAAAACCTCTGAATAATGGGGTGGAAATGCTGTCCCAATACTTTCATTATTCGGAGGTCCCACTGTAGTTCACGAAAACGACCATCGGGCCACGAGTCTAAATCCAATCTGGCTGGTTGAAATCTCTTTAAGCTCCCTGAGCACATGGCTTGGCTCTCTTGTGAGGCGCTGGAGCCAGGCTGCAAGTCTGACTTGTATTCTCAAACTTTAAATCTTTTCCAACGGACATGGCGGCGTGCACACTTAACCGCCGTTCGAAATCACGTGGAAGACGTTACAATTGTGTTGGCGTCCTTTAGCCGGGCACAACATCCACACTCCACAGAGGACACACAAAGGATGAAGTACACCTGCAATAGTTACAAGTCATCTCTTTCGTATGTATGTATGTATGCCGTAAGACCCCATTCCCACATCGTTGTTGTTTCTTCAACATGTTGGTATAAATAATATACTCTCCCAAGGGTCCAATTAAACATACGATATGATACGTTTTACATGTTGCATATGTATTGTACTTCCTCGGGATATGCGCCGATCGATCTAGCCAGCTAGAGAACTCTCCTCCATTCGACGGCATGCGCTGCAACCTTCGGTGACTGACCGAGGCTGTATCTGTTTCCAATCTTCATGGTTCCAAGCTGCAACTTGCAAATACGCTAGGATTACATGGCGTGTTATGACCTGCTACATAATGCTGTACGCAATCTGATTGGTCAATTTGAATCTCCCGACGTCTAAGTAATGTTTTTTCCGTGACATGTTGCGTAATGTAATGTGGTTTACGTGATTGTGTACTCTGTGGAATCGAAAGAAGCAGCAAAGATGTAGAAATTGTTCTCTTCAATGTTTGTGATTGTGGAGATGTGTATATACAACTTGTAATGGCATATACACACACTTGTAATGGGTGGTGTGCGTTGAGAGTGCACACACATGTTGATGTGTGTGTGTGTGTGTGTGTGTGTGCAAGATCGCACCGTTGCCCACACCATGTGTACGTGTCCATCACGGGAGAGGACTTTACACGACGTGTCGAAAGAGGACAAGAATAAAGCAACAACCAGTTTCTGTTTGTTGCGGGGTTTGTAGTGGCAGCAGGCGCAAAGCGTTGTTGGACAGCTGCTCTTATTAGTCGGCAATGATTGAGGATAATTTTGGTTGTATGCTGTGAATTGCTTGTGAATTGGAGTGACAAAAAGTCGGGAACGGGGGAAAAGTAACCATTTTACTTACTCTCTTAGCACTTGGCACCGTGACAGTATAATGTATATACAGGTAGGAGTGGGGGGAGGCTACAGTCTGAGTCTCTCTGTTGTGAGATGAATTGGTAGAGGTGGTGGTGTTAGGACAGGTAGGCTTGCTGGTGTTGGTGTTGTTAGTGTGTGTGTTGGTGAAGAAGGGGGGATGGTACAACATAGGTGCTTCAACCTAGTTTGCCAACGGACACATTTTCCCACCGCATGTACGTTATTCTTATCGGCATCTTGCAGTTCCCAGATGCAATCTGAGGCTGGAAATGTTGGAATGTGTCAGTATGCAATCATGCTGTACTATAGCCATACTGTGGCCAACACACACACCCCTACTACATATCTCTTCTACAACTGCTCCTACCGGTGGGTGTGGAAACTGTTTGGTCTGTGGAGAATGTCGATGGCTTTTGGTTGTGGCCCTTCCCTGTTCCCTGTGTACCATTCATTGTCCCAACAGCTGTCAACTCACCACTAGCTCTTCTGCCAGCACCTCGCTCTATGAGATCATCCCATGTATGGTACAATAGCTCAGTTGGTGGAGTCCTGGCCTAGACAGCAGAGTGTCTGTGGTTTTGAATCTCACCGGGACAGGAAAGGGAGTTGACCTGGGAGTAGTTGCTTTTCTTTTACCTTTTCACCTCACCTTGTTTTGTATCAGTTTGGTGTGCTTGCATAGACTGAAGAGTGTCGTGGGTTCGAATCCCACCCAGGGCAGCTCTTCCTATTTTCTTTGAAAAGAAAGAGCTGTCCTGGGTGTAGTTGACTTGTTTGCCTTGCCTGCCTTCCTACACCTCGCTACCAAGTTGTTGAGACATGCAAGGCTGGCGCCAGAGTGCACCAGGGGACATACCTAGTCTCTCGGCCTACTCTTCATTTGTTCCCTGAATATGCTTCCCATGGGACATGTGGTCACAGGTGTTGCACCGTGTCAAAATGGTTCAGAGGCAAAATGTAGATATTCATCTAAGGGGGAAGAGCTGACTGGGCCAGTGGGTATTAACATACAGTGTGTGTGTGTGTGTGTGTGTGTGTGTGTAAAAATAGCAACAGTCTCATTCATTACCTCGTCGATATTGTGCGTATTAGAAAGGTTCACCTACATACGTGTGTGTGTAAAAATAGCAACAGTCTCGATCATTACCTCGTCGATATTGTGCGTATTAAAAAGGTTCACCTACATACGTGTTGTGTAAATTCTGGGGGGACAAGATTTAACCCTTAACCAGCCACGGACACATAAATGTGTCCAGAGCCTCCATAAGTCCATAATCATTTATATGGGGGTTATAAATACTATGCGCTAATACTTTATACATCAATTTATGCTTATGTAAGCAGATACCCATGGCGTCCAAAAAGATTTAATCAAGGGGGGCAAGCTCCCCCTCCACCCTCTGATGAACCCCTCAATAGAGACTTGTTCTCTGTCATCTCAATGGCTCTTTCTCTTCTCTCTCTCGTCTCTCTATTTCCCCTGCTCTCTTCTTCATCTATATGTACATATTTGGCTAGATTTTTGTGCCCGCTGCAACCACAGCCAAACACTCAATACAGTCCATGCCCATATGTAGTGTGACACACTCTCATGTACATACATATAATTATGTGTACATATGATATTATATCATAGACCCAGAGACTAATGCATTCACTATAGACAGTTTTGGCGACAGGTTCTGTAGACGTCAGCCAAAAGGCTACAAGTCACTCAATACGATAAACGTATTCATCACTTGTTGCTGGCCGGTATATATAGACAATGGACAATTCTGTACCTGTAACATATGTACATATGGCACAGGGGTATACAACAATTGGCAATTCCTAACACATGGTGCTTTTACAAGTGCGTGTGTGTGTGTGTGTGCGTGTGTGTGTGTGTGTGTGTGTGTGTGAGTGAGTGTGTGTGTGTGTGTGAGTGTGCGTGTGGTGTGTGTGTGTGTGTGTGTGTGTGTGTGTGTGTGTGAGTGTGTGTGTGTGTGTGTGTGTGTGTGTGTGAGTGAGTGAGTGTGCGTGTGGTGTGTGAGTGTGTGTGTGTGTGTGTGTGTGTGTGTGTGTGTGTGTGTGTGTGTGTGTATAAACAAATACTAGCAACATGTTTACATGTCTCCTACATGTAATTGTCTCCTTTCCAAAGACTCTATTGCAATGCAGTGCAAGAAAGCCTCTGATTATAATTATAGGCTTGCCTGATATGCAGATAACAGGAAATTCAGTACCTGCATGAATGTGGTTTAAAAAACAGTGCATAGCCATCTGGTGTGGATAGTACAATGCTATATCCGATAATGTAGGGAGAAATGCGGAGAATTCTTTGGGCAGCGGGTGACAATCTGACAGTTAACAAGCAGCACATCTTGAGGATAAGCAGAGAACTGGGAATAGGAGGATTTTTATCCAGCAGGATTTGTACATGTGGAAGGAGGCGTGTTTCAGTTGGATTTCAGATTGCTATATTGTAGGCTGGGCTCACTTTGCTCATTAATTAGGTTTTTACATTTTCTTATGGTGTGGAGGCTATAGTGATTGGGGGAGTGGAAACCCTCTCTCTCTTAGGACACCTCTCTAATAATAAGGACACCCCAAAAATGAGGGCACCTCTCTAATTATGACACCCCCAAAAATGAGGGCACCTCTCTAATAAGGACACCCCAAGAACTACTTCTTTTATGCACTTAACTAAGAAAAGCCTGCCTATATATAGTATTGAGACTTTCTTCTTTCCCATTAGTGTCTGTATTTGGGAGCACTGCCTTGGGTTACACATTCGACAGTATGTCGCCAGTCAAACCTTTCTGTCTAGCTGTATGTAGTATGTACAGTGTACTCTATGTATGTAGTATGTAGTATGTAGTATGTGGTATCTAGTATGTATGTATGTACAGTGTACACAGCAACATACAATATAGACACTTGATTAGAATGTTATGTACCACACATGTACATACATTACATACTACAGTGCTACAATGATGTGACTAATGTTGATTTGCTGACACTCTGTGAATGGAAGGGCATATGTTGCTATCTGGAGTTGCTAGGATATTTGTAGTGCATTAGTGTAGTGTTGTGTGTAGGTGTGCCGCTGATTGCAGTCCTACAATCACTTGTGTAAGCAATTCAGTCACTATTAGGTACACAGGCTTGTTAGAGATGGCGGCCATCACTTGTGTATATAAGCAATTCAAGTACACAGGCTTGTTAGAGATGGGATACCAATATTGTAGTGATACTATACATATGTACATCCCAAAATTTGGCATCCATTGAAAATACAGCACTTTTGCGGCCCTGGGCATGTGTTTGGTGTCAACTTATTGGAGCCTAAAGCCAGTCAAATTTGGTCCTAATGGTAGAGCTCACACTGTTACACAGACCTGACGGCACACACATATATACAGGGCTCACGCTGTCCTGTCTGGGCACTGCAACAGATATCCCTAGGCAAATGACATGTATGAACCCTTCTTACATTTTTAGTATTGTATAGGCTGATACAATCCCCCAGTACCTAGCTTCGTGCCTAGGGATATCCAACAAACTGTTGCACAGACCTGACAGCAGTATCCACTCAGTTAAAATTCGACAAGTGTGGGAGTGCATGCTGTTGCCACAGGAAGGATGATATGTCATGGAAATGTCATGTATACAAGTCAGCTAATGTAGCATATTACATATGTACATTATAGTGATACTGTATTTCACTCACTGAACCCTACAACTCATCAACACAACACTTCCTTGGTAACAGCATGCACAAGCTTGTTGTCACCCTTGCATTAGGAGTGGGTGTTGGACTATACACCCAGTGGACATGTGACAATAAGTGTGGAAAGAGTGCACATGTGCTGTCAAGGAAATATTTTAGTGGAAACTCTCTAATCCTGACACCAATTGGTAGTGTCCAGGTATATACTCCAATGAGATGTCCTTTTATTTCAGGGGTTAAGCTTTATACAAGTACTGTTCTTGGGGAAAGAAAAGATCCTCATTCCAGGGACGTCCTTAGAGAGAGAGGAGTTCCACTGTATACAAGCCATGCTGTTGATACGCACATACATTGAAACTAAACTGCAATTACTTACATGTATTTAGAGCCAGGCTCTAGTGAGTTCTGAACTCTGATTGGTCAATCAGAGGATACTATTTCTCTTAGTATTCCGCTGACTGATCAGACGACTTCTACATAATATAGAAATCATCCCCGAGGCACATTCCATTGCAGAAATGTGGCTCACAACACAAGAAGACGCTAATTTAGCTCTGCATAGAGAGTGTAGCTAGTTCGAGACACAGCACCCCCTAACTGCAGGCAAGCTAACAGAGAGAAAGAGAGACACTTGTTGGCTCGGCCGGCTAGCTGTCATGCAAAAGCAGGCGGGGTCGAGGGTCCGCGGCTTTCTAAATCACGTAGTTTCCTCGAATCGGTGCCTAACTTATATATAGCTTATCCAAGGAAACAAATAACTCTCACTCTCCCTCCCTTCCCTCCCTTCCCTCCCTTCCTCCCTCCCTTCCCTCCCTTCCCTCCTTCCCTCCTTCCCTCCCTCCCCTTCGCACTCCCTTCCCTTCCCTCTCCCTCATCTCCTCCCTCCCTCCCTACCATCCCTGCGTCCCTCCCTCCCTTCCCTCCCTTCCCCCCTCCCTCCCTCCCTCCCTTCCCTCCCTCCCTCCCTCTCCCTCTCCCTCCCTCTCCCTCCCCTCCCTTCCCTCCCTCCCTCCTCAGAGAGACTGGCCCCAGATGTCCGGTTGACAACACAACCGTGTGTGTCCACCAACTCTTCAAAGACAACTTCGCCAAACGTGAGGTTCTTTCTCTCAACGTTCACTGTTCGGCAGATCAGTGCGGATGTTCCTGGCAGGGGGAGCTCCGAGACCTACAGGTATGTACAACATACTACATGTGCATGTGCCAACAATGAGGTAACGAGGTAGAAAGACAAGTCAACTAAACCCAGGACAGCTCACATTCAAACGTTCAATTTTAGCAGCTCCTTTTAAAGGAAAAACGAAGAGCTGCCCTAAATAACTCTGCAGAAAAAAATTGTGGCCAAAAATGTTTTAAATACAAATAATTATGTACAAGTGTAGTTGTGCTAGCGTAGCTTACCTTACAGGGGGATATTTTTGTAGTAAGAAATTTTCGTATCGGTTAATTTTTTGTAATTTTTAATTTAGTTTGTGCGTCATAACACACAGTGAACGTGGTTTTTTGTTACATTTTAGCAAAATGTGAAATGTAGGGCTTACGAAAAGTTACCACTTAATATTGATGTGCATACTGATGTGTATTATTCATATTATTCATTGTACAGGTGCATAACAAACAGTGTGAATTGGTGCTAATCGAGTGTCCCAATTCGTGCGGCCACTCGTGTCGACGGAAAAATCTTCAAGACCACCTTCCTACCTGCACCAACAGGTTAATATACCGTCGACTGTGTATGCTGTTTATAGGGACTATTGGGGTTAATTAACAAATCGAGGCAGAGTACATAACAAGAGCTGGTGGATGTCGAAAGTGCAATGAAAAATACCTTTTCAGGTTGGATTCTGACCAAAATGCCCTTTTTTCGTGCCACTTACGAGGAAAGGTTTTTACTCCTACAAATCAGGAAATTTCGTTAAACCTGCAGAACCCCTCTACCCTGCACTGTGCCTCCCTTCCCTCCCTTAAGATTTCTAGGATAAGCCCTGGCTCCTGGTAGATCTAGGACGAGTTACTGTACTTCAAAATGGAGGTTAGAATAAGGATTTATCTGTTTGATAAATGCTGGGTTTGTTGTGCCAAAGAAGCATATACATGGTCTAATACCTTCATGTAGAACAATCTGTTGAGTGGGATATTGTGGGCGGGCATTAATTGGAAATGAGGGTGGGCACCAATTGGAATCGTGGGTGGGCTGATTGGTGCAGTGTTTCCACAACAGAAACCATGATGTCCTGCTAGTAATGCAACCTTGGTAACTTTATAGGCCCTCCCCCTTACCAAGTGGCTGTTTGATCCATTGTCCGCAATTCTTGAGTAAACCTTACTATGATGGTATGCCATAATTATATGACCTGGCTTCTTGTTACATTTGAGTTGTAGTATGTATGTATAATATGTACATACATGTGTACAAGCTGTTGTACTAATTGCTGAGCACGTTAGCGTGAGGCAACTATACTCCGGGTTGTATTCTCGCGATATGCGTACGTACGTGTCAGACACGCTTAAGAATGTCAATTAGTCATGCTTTAGGAATGTCAACTTCCGTCATTCGTAGGAAGTCAGCTTCAGCCGTGCACGCAGATTCGTAGGAAGTCTGTAGAGCGAGAGCACGAGCGTCCTCAGTCGGACTGTTTACGCATTGGCTGGCAGGCGCGGGGCATAATATGTGCGTGCGCATTCCTAGTAGCCTCCCTGCCTCTAAATCCTTGAACAATGTGGGTGAGCATGTGTGTTATAGTGAGTCAAGCTGTTGGCCAATGTATACATAAGTAGTAGCAACATAGAGATTATAAAAGGCCTCACCATTAACCATATCCGTCCATGTTACCTTTTGTGTGTAACCTTACGTTGGCATATACAATACTGGCCTGGCCTTCAACTTAACTCCAGTAGATTCTTACACACTACTGTAATGAAAAGCACTGAAGTGCAAACCCTCGGCAAACTGTGCATGCGTGGCACCGCTAATGGATGGGCTGGGCTGGGCTATTGGCATTTACTCGTGGTCTCCCGCTAGTAGCTCGCTGAGAGTCTGACACGGACTAGCTACAGTAGTAGATAGCATGCAGGAGTCGATACTAGCTGGTACAGAACTCAATGTATATATATACTGTACAATACATTGGTAGGAAACATTCACCAAACCAAAGCTATTTTGCAAACCAACATACCTTTTTGGTTTGCTTGTCTCAAAATCTTAACATCGTACTATGCTATTGTTGAGCTTTGCAAATGTCCTGCTTCCATATATAATGTGCAGTAATTTAACACTTAACCAGCCACCGACATGTAAATGTGTCCAGAGACTCCATAAGTCCATAAGAATGTATATACATGTAGGGATTATAATACTAGGCACTAGTACTTTATACATCAATTTCTGCTTATTTAAGCAGATACCCATGGCGTCAAAAGGGATAAGAGTTAATATGTTATTCTTGTGCTTGTAGGCCGGAGAAGTGTTCGACGTGCAGCATCCGTTTTCCTCGTAGCTCACTGGCAGATCACCACCCTCACTGCTCCCACATCGTTATACCTGACTCCGTCTCCTCCGCCATTGATAAGGTAGGGGAAGATGGAGGGGAGGGAGGGAGGGAGGGAGAGAGGGAGGGAGGGAGAGAGAGGGAGGGAGAGAAAGTCTGTAGAGAGTAAGAGAGAGAGCATAAGGTTTGGGGGACTGAGGAAGGGAGGGAGGAATAGTGGTGTATTCATCACCACTGCAACTTTTCTCTATACACTATATATACACCTCACTGCTCTGTGCTGTCAAGGGAGGTAGGGAGGGAAGGAAAGTCTGTAGAGAGTAAGAGAGAGAAGGTTTGGGGGGACTGAGGGAGGGAGGGAGGGATCGTGGTGTATTCATCACCACTGCAACTTTTCTCTATACACATCTGTATACACCTCTTCGCTGTCGATCACAGGCTTGTGAGGTGTTGAAGTGGGTGGGACACCTGAAACTAAAACTGAATGTAAGTTGTAGTCCTTTTCTATTTTCATATTCACATTCCTGCATCACTCAGTAGAACTATCTATCCAACAAAATTGTGTGGGGACAAATTATGGATACTGAAACCTACATATATTCATCGAGTTTTGTTTATATTTACACCTATATATATATATAGTGGTGTGTACAGTGTATTATACCTGTAGTTAGTGCAGGTGTACTGTGTCACTGTTTGTTGCAGGGTCAAGTGTGTCAGTTGACAGGCTACCTCACTGCTCCCTCTGACAGCGAACAATCACAACTGTTAGTCCTCCTAACTACCGTACTACACTAAATTGTTATGCACGAAAATGGATTTACTAAGTCCCCATATATATATATATATATGATATGTAACATGTAGTGAGTTCCCAACTTGCACGTTGTTCGTAGAAATAATCACACATCCATTTGACGTATAGTTAACCCTTAGCCAGCAACGCGCTGTATATGCCCAGAGCCTCCATAAGTCCATAAGAATTTATATGGGGCTATAATACTAGGCGCTAATATGTTATACACATCAATTTCTGCTTATTTAAGGAGATACCCATGGCGTCCAAAGGGTTTTAATAGAAGCCCCAGGGCCCTTGTGCTATTCCAAGAATTGCCATAATTTACAGACTCGCTAATGAAGTGCTATAGTGCTAGTGTTCTCTCTCTGTATGTATTGTACATTGCAATAAGCTGTGAGTCGACTAGTGAGATGGAGTGTGAAGATGCAGCGTTTACTTTTCCTTGGTCTTCGAACATGCTAACATGTGCTGTTTGTTACGATAGGGTACATAAATTACATAGACTAAGACCTTATATACAAGATTGCGAAATTTGAGCTAAGTGCATGCTTTTATGGAGAATCACCCAAAGTAATATTGGATACTTACGAATATCATGTTTACAAAAGTGCATTTGTTCAAGTAGATTTTTTTAATTATTCATCTCGTTCGTTATGCAGGGCCACCAGTTGTTGGTGTAGCAGTATCACATTCATCACTCTCAATTCTCTGGCCTCTCAGATCTTCTCACGCATGCTCACGGTCAGCACAACTATACACTACTACGTATTACACGTGTATCTTGACAAGACAGACTGACTATGCAGATACCCTTATTGCTTAACACCTCGGGTTCATCATGCACTAACATACAGTGCGTGCCTCGAGAGCATGCGGTAATGTGGTGTCGTGGTTTTCCAATCTTGCAGAGTTCAGAGGTTCAACCGGTGCTGCTCAACTTCTCCCTGCTGACCAGCGATCCAAAGTCTCTAGCCTTCCAGAAAATCTTTAGAAAGAAACCGGAAATATGTGTAAGTATAGTAGCCATGCATAGATAGTGTCTGTGTGAGTATATAGCCATATATAGTATAGACAGAGGTGGAGAGGTCTTTTGTAGTTCCATTTACTATATCCTGTTCACATCTAGGTATACATATAGGTTATACTGCGCGTCAATGGAAATACAAAAAAATCTGATTGGTCAATTTGAATCTGCCGACGTCTAAATGTAGTCGACTTGTTTGTTTGTTGTGCCTTTGCCTTTCTACCCCGTGGTACACATACACTCTTTATCATCTGTTTCCCATTTTTGTGTTCTGTTTCTGTTTTTAAAAAGAAAACCCTGTTTGTGTGCACTAAAAGGATACCTAGAAGCAGTTTATCAGACGGGACAAGAGAATAGAATTAGTTAACCCCTGGGGGTCGAGCAAAAATGAGTAACCCCCTGTACACATGTACCAGTCTGGGCTCAATAATGTACTAATCCCCAACGTTTAGAATTCTGCTGTGTGTCTGCGCCTGAGGCCAGGAACCTGGCGAGGGACTTGGCTAGCCAGAGCGTTTACAACAAAAATAAACACACACTTTATGTATCCTGCAGGCTTAATTACGTACCAAACTTTGATGATTTGGTGTGCCTGCGCCAGAGGCCAGGGACAACTTGGCCAGACAGAGCATTTACTAAATACATGCCTTTTAACCCTTTGGACGCCATTGGTATCAAGCAGAAGTTAAGTGTTAATGTACAAACCTGTAGCAATGCGGACTTAATTATGCACCAATCTTTGTTGTTCCGTGAAGGGAAGAAACAAGAAGA